ACCTTGCACATCATTGGTCACTTAGTAGGCCATCTCTTTAAAAGAGTGTGATACTGGCATATGCTGGCATATTGTTATAATTGTTCTATTTTATTATCAGGTGTAATCTCTTACTGTGCCTATTTATAAATTAAACTTCTTTATCATAGTCATATATGTATACGGAAAAAAACATAGGTACTTTGACGGGTTCAATAACTATGGGTAACGTTGTTCAGGATCCACTGGGGATTGGGAGCATGGATCCCTGGGGGATAGGGGGGGACTACTGTATGTTAGAGATGATAAAGGACAGGGCCAGGAGCGCGGGGGCTCAATTGCCTGTAATTCCAGCACCTTTGGGAAGCTGAGGGGGATGGCGGATCACGAGGGTCAGCAGAATCCGAGGAACCCAATCCTGGCCTAAACACAGGTGAAACTCAATCTCTACAAAAATATCATAATTACCGTTGGGTGGCCGGGGCGTTGTTATGTCTCATATGTATCTTAGGAATCTGAGCAGTTTGGAGAATGGCGTGGAAACCCGGGGAGGCGGAGCACTTGCAGTGAGCTGAATTGGGCCCCGGCTTGTACTTCCAGGCCTGGGGCCAATCGTGTGACTCTGTTTTCAAAAAAAAAAGAAACAAAAAAGGCACAACTTATGATAAATTGTTGGGATTGAACCTCTTTTTATTTTATCTTGACTAGTTAAGAAGTTTAAATAAATAAAGATATTAGAGTTCAGTCAGTATTTCAAGTTGAAATTTTGGAACCGAAGCCTCATATCTGATTGCAGGATACTCGGAAAACTGAGCTTAGGTAGACTATTTTCTATACATACAGCCATTTATAATTTGTTTCATTAAGGAACCTAGATTTGTAAGCTTCGTGGATATGTTTGTGGTAAAATTTATATTTAAGAAGTATTGTTTTTTTTTACGGTTTACTGTAGAACATATTCAGCTTCTCAAGAATTATACCGCTAGAGGCCGGGGCGGCTGGGTGGCTTCAAGCCTGTCAACTCCAGCACTTTGGGGAGGGCGAAGACGTGGATCCACGAGCGGGTCAGGGATCGAGACCCATCTTGGAACACGGTGAAACCCGTCTTACTAAAATAAAAGTACAACAACTAGCGGGCGGATGTGTGGGCGCCTGAGTCCCAGGGCTACTCGGGAGATCGATTGGGCAGGAGAATGGCCGGAACGTGGGAGGCGGAGTTGCGTGAGCTGAATCCGGCCGATGGCACTGTTATCTTGGGTGACGAGCGAGACTGCCTGTGGTGTGTGTCTCAAAAATTAAAATAAAAAATAATAATATAAATATATATTTTGTATACGATATAACTTAGATTTTTTTTTCATATATTTTATACTGTTGTTGTATTTATTCATAGGTACATGCCACCTTACCTGGCTAAATTTGGTATTTTTTGTAGAGACTAGGTCTCATCATGTTGCCCAGGCTGGTCTCAGACTCCTGAGCTCAAGTGATCTGTCCTTCCAAAGTACTAGAATTACAGGCTGTTTTTAGTACTTTTTTGATATAAGTCACAGTAAAAAGTGTTTTACTTTATGTGCGTGTATGTGTGAGATACAAGTGTTTGATGGGATAGTTTTCACTCTTTTTTCACCCTTGCAATAGATAATAGATTCTTAAATTTCCTTTCTTCATCTCTTTCTGTTGTTCTGTTTTATTTTATTAAATAAAACCATATCACTACATACATGATTCCACAACTCACTACTGGGTTTTAAAAACCCTACCGTAGAAATTACTTGCACTTGTGCCCAAGATATATGCAGGGATGTATTCACTGTCATAGAAAGACATATGAGACATACAAGTGAAAAAAGCAACTTGCAGAACAGTGAGTCCAATATGATGATATGGATATGAAAGCAAAAACCACAGAACAACAAATGCACTGACAAAAAGATCTGGAAGAATACACACAAAACTGATAACAGAATTTGGTAAGGGTGGTCAAGGGGCATTTAAATTTTATTGTCTGAAACATTTACATCAAGGATGAGTTCATATTTTGTATTAAAAATGTAAAAGTAAAAAAGCCCCAATTAATTCAGTTATAGATTAGTTAGAGATTATTTCTGTCAGATGTTCAGTTGGCAAAATCTCTTTTCAAGATAGTCTTTTGAAAATGGTCTGTTTAGGCTGGGTGTGCTGGCTCATGCCTGTAATCCCAGCACTTTGGGAGGCCGAGGCGGGTAGATCACCTGGGGTCAGGAGTTCAAGACTAGTCTGGCCAATATGGTGAAACTCTGTCTCTACTAAAAATACAAAAATTAGCCCAGTGTGGTGGCATTGGGAGACTGAGTAGGAAAATCACTTGAACCCGAGAGGCAGAGGTTGCAATGAGCCACAGTCTTAACCACTGCATTCCAGCCTGGGTGACAGAGGGTGACTCCATCTCAAAAGAGAAAAAAAAAAAAAGAAAATAGTCTGTTTAGTGCTTGTACAGTGCCTGGCACTTAGTAGGTGTCAAAATATTTGTTGAATGAATGATTGATAGTATAGATATAGTGGTCTATTCATTCACCAGGTGATGGACATTTCCATATTTTTTTGTATGTGTGGCTATTTTAAGCTTCTATAAAGATTTATGTATAAGTCTTTGTGGAGCATGTGTTTTTATTTCTTTTGGATAAATAGTGTGGGATTGCTAAATCGTAGAGTAGGAATATAAAACAAAATTGGCCATGAGTTGATAATTGTTAAAGCTGCAAGGGATATGTGGAGAGTTTTTTGCTTTTCTCTACTTTTGTGTATGTTTAAACTTTTCCATAATCAAGCATAATCAATCTCTTATTTTTTCTTTTTTTGCAGGCAGTTATTTAGGATTGAAGGAGTAAAAAGTGTCTTCTTTGGACCAGATTTCATCACTGTCACAAAGGTAAACATAGGATTATATAAAATAAGACTCGAAATACTTTTCATTTTTTTCTGAGTCCAATGCCTCCAACATTTCCATTTTTCTGTTCTTTAATTTTAATTTTTATTTTTTTTGAGACAGGGTCTTACTCTCTAGCCCTCTAAATGTCAGAAAAATCAAGCGAAATATGCTATGTTTTTCTTTTTCTTTCTTTTTTTTTGAGACGAAGTCTTGCTCTTGTCCCCTAGGCTGCAGTGCGATGGTGCTATCTTGGCTCACTGCCACCTCTGCCTCCCGGATTCAAGTGATTCTCCTGTCTTGGCCCCCCGCCACCCCCAGTAGCTGGGATTGCAGGCACCTGCCACCATGCCCTGCTAATTTTTGTATTTTTGGTAGAGACAGGGTTTCACCGTGTTGGCCAGGCTGGTCTAGAACTCCTCACCTCAGGTGATCACCCGCCTCAGCCTCCAAAGTGCTGGGATTACAGGCGTGAGCCACCACGCCCAGCCAAAATATGCTGTGTTTTTCAACAGTCAAGGCGGCATCTACTAGAAAGGCCTGTTCCATTTTTTATGTCTACTAGATTAATGGGACATGAACTATTTAAATTTGAACTATGTATCCTTTTAAATCTGTTGATTGACATATATCCACTTAACTTAAATCACTTGCCTGATACTGTGTAAAAATCACAAGTATTTATTAAACTCCCCTTAAGCAATTTGAAAGGATTTGTCTGAGCTCTTTATGTCCTTAAAAGTGGATATGCTGGGGGCCAGGCGCGGTGACTTATACCTGTAATCCCAGCACTTTGGGAGGCTGAGGCGGGCGGATCACGAGGTCAGGAGATCAAAACCATTCTGGCTAACACAGTGAAACCCCTTCTATACTAAAAATACAAAAAAAATTAGCCGGGCGTGGTGGCGGGTGCGTGTAGCCCTAGCTACTCAGGAGGCTGAGGTAGGAGAATGGTGTGAACTCGGGAGGCCGAGTTTGCAGTGAGCCGAGATCGGGCCATTGCACTCCAGCCTGAGTGACAGAGTGAGACTCTGTTTCAAAAAAGAAATTAAAAAAAAAAAAAAGTGGACGTACTGGGTTAGTGACATGTTAAACCTAGTCATCTAGTCCAGTATTCTCTTGTAGCTATTTATTTATTTAGAGACAAAGTCTCACTCCATCACCCAGGTCAGAGTGCAGTGGCATGATCTAGGCAAACTGCAGCCTCAGCCTCTTGAGCTTAAGCAATCCTCTCACCTCAGCCTCCCTGGTAGCTGGGACTATACGTGCATACCACCATGTCCAGTCCCCCATTCTTCAGTTTTCTTTCTTCCATATTTTTTAAGGGGAAGAAAGGATAAGCATTTATTTAATATATTCAATGTCAGATATGGCACTAGTGCTTTATATATGTTATCTAATTCTTACAACTAGTTATTTTATAAGTGGGAAATTATTTTTTATTTTTTTTTTGGACAATGTAACTTGTTTACCAAATAAAAAATTAGGTGGCTCCAGTTTCTTTCTCCATAGTTTTTAAGGGGAAGAAAGGAATAAGCATTATTTAATATTATTCAATCAGATAGGCACTTAGTCATCTTAATAGGTGTGCCTGTAGATTTAACTTAAACAGTTACATCTATCCAACTAGTGAGAGAGGCTAGGATAAGATATAGAAGCTTAATAGTGATAGTTGTTTATTTTTTTTTATTTTTTGAGACTGAGAATCCCACGTCAATTCTGCTGCAGCCACAGAAGCGATAGGGCAGGCGCGACCTGGATCTCCAGCCTCTAATCGCAGAGCACCTCGTCCGGACCTCCGAAGAGAGTTGAGAACGTACAGGAATAACATCAAAAAAAGAATGCAATCAAACACATAGACTCTGAAAGAAAATGAAGTTAACAAGTTGAGGACCAGCAATCTAATTAACAAGCAAAAGAACTTTACTCTGTATTCTGCCTTTTACGCCACTTGCCACAGGGCATTTTCCATAATGGGCCGACCCTAAGCTTTGCCTCAGAGCCAAATAATTCAATTGTCTTTTGGTACTTAACAAGACAGCTACAACAGAGCCCACCCGACGCCCATGTGGAATGGGTCTGCCTCCATGAGTGAATCGGCTGATGTACTACATTTTTGGATTTTTTAGTAGAAAAACCGGGTTCGCACCATGTAGCCGGATGGGCAGCGATCCCTGACCTCGTGATCCGCTCCGCTCGGCCTCACCAAAGGCGGATGACAGACTTGAGCCCAAGAGCCACTGCGCCCGGCATACAGGGGAAATGAATATATTAGTTTTAAAAGTTATTTAAGTTCTTTAATATAGGCCTATGCTAATATTAAATTTTTAAGGAAGAATGTGATTGTACTT